AAGCAAATGAGTAGGTCGGGAAGTTAGAGAGACGGAGCCCAGTATAAACCTACAAAGAAAATGTATACTGATAAAAAAATATGTCTAGAAATCTATGTTGTTGTAACAGTATAACTGCCTCTATGACCGAACGGTTCCATGCCTTACTGCTACGCAAAGGTCTCGGGTGCGATTCGTCAGTTTGGGTGTAATTTGTAGTTGTCTATGTGTGTGTCCATGGCACACGCGATACAGGGTTTCCCTCGTGCCCCTGCACCATTAGTTGTGTGCGCGTTAAAAAAAGTTATTTTATGGTATTAGACATAGTAGATATCACCTATGATTTTCAATAAATATTCAAAAACTTTATCAATTATATGATTATTTGTGCAGATATTGTTTTGAAAAGAAATAGATTAAGTATGAATATATAATGGTATATACCTTTGATTGAACATCAAATAAAAGTATACCGTTTCCTAGAAATGGTGAAATAAAATTAAATGAAGTCACATATCTAAAGATCCTCGATGATCAGAAGGAAAGATCTGCCTCTCGATGTCGTTAACTAGCCAATAAGCTTACGGAATAAACAATAAACAATAGATAGAACACTAAAGATCAGTGAATAAACTGGAAGTCCTTTAGACGTCGAGTAAAGCACCCGGCTTTGCATTAGATTCGCAATAAATTCGTCAAATTTCATTCAGCAACGGAATTTAGTAAAAAAATCCACGGTCGCTTAGCCGTTACTTAATTGCATTATTTTAAAGGCTGTAAAGAGACTGTGGATGCTCCATCTTGCTTAATTACAAGGCAGGCTTACGCGGGCTCAGCGCAGGCTCACTCTAATTACGTACAAAAACAAAAACCCAACAAAAGCGAATTTATTTTCTAATTTCTCAGAGTCGAGGCCCTCGAATTAAAAATATAATTCAAACGTTTATTATCGGCGTAATTTCGCAGCGGCCGCGGCTTTCTGCCGGCATAGCTGTGCAGAAGAATCCTTTACAGAAATATTAATTTTGCGACTGTGGTCAGCAAATTAAAAGTTGACGGAGCTATAAAAGAGCTGTTACTTCTAGATGACTACAAGTTGTTGGAGCAACTTTAATTGAAGTTTACGGAAGTCAAATAATAAATTAACATTTGCAAACATTTAATTATGGTTTGAAGTGCGCGAGCAAGATATTCGACAACTCGTCTTAATTTTATAGAGGCATTGTAATTATGTCTTCAAAACATTGTTCAAAAGACTTCGTTCTAACTTTGTGTCTCAATTAGTACTACCTTTGTTAAGCTGAGCTTTGTAATAAAAGCGTCAATTCCACCCTAGTATGTGTCACGATGATTATATTTAAACGCGAAGAAAAGTCAGATGTGACCTATGCGTTCCGACCACTTCCTCCAGTCACTTCGAAGGAAGAATAATTAAACTGTCTTCGACGCTATTTCTACTAAGGTTCCCGTAAAACAATTAAGAATATAAAATGTCAAACATTATGATAAAGAATATAATACAGAGGGAGATCGATACAAAGGTGACTGAAAGAAGAAAAGCGTTGTTGGAAAAAGGAAGAATTGCGAATGAGAGAAACATACGATTTAGGCCTCCCACATTATTTCCATGCTTGCAGTAATCGCTATATCTAATGTCGATGAAGACGAATCAGCGTAGGATACTGGAAATCGTCACAGAGCTATGACCCTTTTGTATCGTTGCAGCAAACGCGCCTTTGTTGTTGTTTTGTACGTATGTGTTTCTACTAATAATTCAAATCATAGTTCTAAATCATTTACCTAACATTACGGTCGTACTTGTCATACCTGATAACTAAAAAATTTTATTCGAATTTGTCTGAAATAGATCCTTTGGGAGTACTCTGTTCATATCGCATTTCTACAAAAAAAGCATTGTTGTATAAAAGATTACGGCAATTAAGCAAATAATTGTCGAAGTAAATAATAATAAAGACTTACGTTGAGACAAAGAGAAATGAATATTCATTTCGGTAAGTACTTTTCTCTTTTGTATTCTCCTTTTTTAGCTTTTGTGAGAAGTTAGTTTCGATATATGTTAACTTCATAGCATTTTTTTGGTTATCTGCAATTATGTAAAAATTACACGACATGTCGCTGTAACTGGGATATTTATTTTAAGCAAAAGAAGAGATTGTCTTATCCGCTCACGCGATGCGGTCATCCTACCGCAAAATGGCGGCTATTTAGTTTCACAAATTAGAAAAGGATTCAGGTTAAATACAAGTTTTTAAAAATAAAAATTATTACTCTGCATTGCTAAATAAATACCCTCCGTACTACAACAAAAACATCTCAAATAAAATGCAGTAATACACCGCAAATCCTACACTTAAAAAGCACTAATGAAATTTTTGGTGTACTTGGGTAAATATGATAATATTCCGTTTGAGTGGTTCTAATGTTTACCATGAAATTACTCCTTAAAGTATAGTTTATAAACATTTATATTCAGGGTAAACTTAAAAAACGCTACTTACGGTATGTTTTCAATATATAAACACCGACATCACCAGCCCAAACAATAACACACACGATTGTCGTGACGTATTTTTGAAGTTGTTTATTTTTTTTAAATGACAGACCCAGACATTAAAAACTTTATGGTTTGCTAGAGTAGTTAACGAAATAGCAATTAGTATTAGTTCTTTTACCTGTTATAACTTCGATATCCGATAAACCGGTATAAAATTATCACCGGCACCTCTAGGTGTGGTATGCTTCCAGAGACGCATGAATCGCGTGAGCGGTTAAAGTGAAATATTTCTATATATATGTTTAGTATAGTATATATATACACACATATACATATGTATTCTGTAGTCATACCAAATAAAGAAGCAAACAAGTAATAACTCTAACAAAAAATTGTAAGAAAGTCATATAAGATTAATGAAAAACTTGGCGAACATTTTTGACGTGCCCGACACCTCCTTTATTTAGCGTGAATGATTGATGGAATGCGATTAGCACTACGTTAGAAGAACACCGATAGAGATTACGTAATATGACTTATTAAAAATGATAGGGGTTTAAATTTTTATCGCTTGTTGATCACTTTCTATTCACGCAATATTGTTTTATTTCAAAACTTGTTAGAACGTCTGTTGCGTGAATTAAATAGACTAGCGGAAACTACGACAGGCACGTGCGCAGGTGTCAAATTAAAATGGTCGTTGCCCTGATATGTACATTGAACCAACTAGTTTCATTTCTACTTAACAACTAGTTTTGGGGAAGGCTTACGATCGAGGGGCGAGGGATGAAATGTGGTTAGTTTTGTTCAGTTTCAGTTTAGGTACCCAATTAAAACGTGTGCTTAAATCATTCTGCGAGAATTCAAGGGCATTAGGATAAACGGAACATGCCCCAACTGGCTCGGCACTGGTTCTCTTGAGGTGTCCCACAGGGGTATATGCTGTTTGACAGGTTGCAAAACAGAATGAAGATTTAAATGATTTTTGTACGCTGACTATATAGTACACAAGTAAGTACATCATGATCAGATAATGGATATAACGTATGGATTGTTTGAAAGAAAGAGAATGAGAGTGAATGAAAAGAAAACTAATAATGGTTATTGAAAAAGAATATAGTATAACGGAATATGTAATTTCAATTAACGGGCAGAAAACTGACCTAAAATATTTTGTGTACCTTGGTTGTGTATACGTTTACAACTAAACAGGTAATTGCTGTAAACTGGGTTGTAAATGGAGTTGAGTCATTTTGTTTCCGAGAAGGCACGAATTATGTGCACGGTGCATAATGCTGATTTGGTTCCAACAATGCCGTATGAGTGCGAGTGTTGGTAGAAGCATTACAAGAGACAGTGAATGCAATAGAAATGAGTTTCCTCTAAAAAATATGTAACGTTTATAATATGGTCTAAAAGTGTGTAGTGACAAAAATAGAGATAAATAAGTTGAGACGGTTTGGGTACATAGCGCGGATGAATTAAATTAGAGTGGCAAAAGATATATGGAGCCAACATGGCAGATAAGTATTGGAAGATACCTGCCACGAAATATGTTTTCAGATCAATTCGAAAATATGGCTAAAAAGGTTGGAGTGTCATCACAGAAAGAATAAGAGAGCTCGTATGAAATAATCATTGAATGAAAATGATTGTCTCACCACAAGAAATCTGCCAGGATCGTACAAAGTGGCTATCCAAAGTGTCTGCCAACCCCAATCGGAATTCAAAGGCGGAATTAAAAGTATGTAAGAAGTTTCACGTAGCAGATACTCTTCATAAAAAGGTGTAGATATAGTGCAAAACTTGTAAACAGTAGCGTTGTTTGAAGCGGTACTAATAACAGTGCGCCGAGGTTCTAGTCATAAAAAACTACTAAAATAATAAAGACAAAATAAAATATAGATAAGTAGTCCTATGTTATACATACAGATACTTATACAATTATCCCAATGATATATCGCACTACTGTTACAATAGTGTTGTAACTCAAAATATGTGAAATTTAATATTATTCATAATCTCATTTATATCGATATCATTACTGAACGTAAAACTTGATTCTCTACACTTAAAAAAAACCATCGTTAGAATATTGTAAGAAACAATCAAAAGACATCTACTTAACTTAAAATGAGACACTTTATGTGAACTAGTTCAGGCCAAAATAATCCATATTCAAAAACACGAAATTATTTTTTCATTTTATTGTTAAATATATTTGAGAAATTGTTTAAGTGTCTATAATAAACTATAACATATAAATGTTAATGATTTTTTTTTCATCGATTCTGAGAAAGTATTGTATGTGTATTCTATATGTATTGATGTTGGATGGGAATGGGTTGATGACTGACAAATAACTAGAGTCATTTGTCAGTCATCAACTCTCATCATCATCAACCCAATGATAATCTGAGAAGTATACATTTAAAGAATAGTTAATTCCAAAATGTATTTTTATTACTTGATTTCTGCACTATAACACGTCAATGTTCGTCCACAGGTATCCTGGATGAGGAAACGCGACCTGCACATTCTCACCTCGCACATATTTACGTACACCGGCGACGCGCGGTTCAGTGTGCTGCATCCCGAGCCTTCCGATGACTGGGACCTTCGCATCGACTACGTCCAGCCGAGAGACGCCGGCGTTTACGAGTGCCAGATTAACACTGAGCCCAAGATCAACATGGCCGTCGTTCTCAGCGTTGAAGGTTCTTACTTTTTTTTTTTATGTACAACAATGTCGCTTTGATTAAGTCTAGTCGAGAGACGACGGTGTCTATATTTGCCAGATCAACACCGAACTCAGGATGTACATCGCCGTCATGCTCGATGTTGAAGGTTTCTGCATTTATGGCTCATATTATTATGTTAAATACTGTCAGTTTAACTACGTCTGAATAAGAAACGGCGACATCTATGAGGGCTAGATCAGCTTCGACCCCAAAATTAACATGGCCGTCGTTCACTTCGTTAAAGATTCTTCTATATTAGTAATTTATACATTTGAGTAATTAACATAATGATTCTACATTTATACAGAACATCTGTTTTTACGTTTAAGGATACGGTAATAATTTAGGTGTATTCTACCAGAAATAATTAAGATTGACATGACCCAAAAGATTTAATCATTAAGATCAAAATTTATTTCCAGGAAATTATATTTTCATTTTAATACGAAATGAAATAACGACGTGTTCATTTTCACAAAAATTTTATGTAATAAATGTAATATATAGATATATAAATATATATATAGTTAGGAATATTTTAATTCACACTTGGGATGAATATTTTATGATCATACCAAATCAATTAAAATAAAATGTTAATAATTTTCAATCAAATTTAATAACTTTTCGAATGGAATAGTTATATACCGGCAGCTGCTTTACCTAATGTATTATCATACAGAAAAACACTGTTAATATTTTGTGTACCCTGCGTTAGAGACTTAAAGCCATTCATTAATGTTTTCCATAACGTTCAGAACGTTAATTTACTTGATTGATTTGTCTCGTTCCTTTAATAAATTTATTACCAGAGGGTAAGGAGGGAGACGGCCGTGTACAACAGTTGGCTATTTGCGGGCAAGTTTTATAAGATTAGCTACAGAAATAAAAGCACATTATTATAATTAATTATTGTTGAGATTTCTTTTGAAGTCAATTCAATTTTCGAACTAATTATAAGAATTCATAACCTAACAAGAATTAATGTAATTTTAAGTATTCGTATATATAATAACACAAGGCGAAATAAGCTTTGCACGAAAACAAATTAACTTATAAAATGAAGTGAGACTTTCAAATATATCAAAAAAAAACGTTCATGATTTTTTTTTCATATATTGTAAATACATGTAATATACTCGACTCGTGTAATACTCGATAGCACCTTTCTCGGCAACATTACTTTGGATTTCTAAAAAGTATTACTAGCGACGTAAGGTATTTACGATTCAGAAAGAATTTAGTTTACTTAAATCCGCACGTGTCGTAGAGACACACAGTATCCCAAACGAATTTGGTGAAAAAAGATTTTTTAAATAAATTTTTATGTTTTTAAAAAACTTATTTTATTTGAAAAATTGTGGCTGAAAACAGAGATGCCGTGCGTCTCCAGGACCTACAATATCAAAATCGTTAAGAGATACCGTGATTTTCTAAGACGCGTGACGGGTAAAAAAGTATTATTTTTAGTTGAAAATAAAATAAAAAATGTGTCTGTTATGAGTCCTTCCTGTTATTCGGTTATTGATTTTGAATTACAAAACGTTCATATTTCCATTGTATAATTGCCAGCGAAATTATAATTAATTAAGAGGAAACATTTATTATGTACAATTCATTTCCCTAATGAATTTGAATAATTAATCACAACGCAATAAAATAAATCATATACTAAGTATACTTAGTATAGAAGAGAGATAAATAAGACACATAGACTTCGAAGTATTCAAATTTTTTCGAAGAACCATGACGTATAGCGAATAATATCACAGCATTTTTCTTTTAAATCCACGCCTTTCGCTCCGTGTGAAAAGTTGTTATGACGTAACCGGGTATTCGTCTCGTCATATTAGGCCGGGGTCCATGCCACGCTAATACCGTGATACAAAGCGTGCTCATCATTCTACCTGTCACTTACCTCTGATGTGACATGCGACAACATACCTTTATTCCTTACGTTGCTGTAAATATTGCGTTTACCAAACACATACTTGCATATTTTGGTATGTCCGATAATAGTTAATAACCTAAATAAAAAGAAATTTCCCTTGCTTTCAGTACGTACATTAAACTATTTAGCTAGTTTAATATTTATGACTATTCGCATAACGAGATTGAATTGTTTATTTTAGTAGCAAACTATATTATAGTAGCAGTAGAGCTTCTTGTGAAATAGTTCATCCAGGAAAGTACTACCACCTTACCTATTTCTGTCATCAATAAGTAAGCATTATTGTGTTCCGGTTTTGAAGTGTAAGCGCCCAGTTACACGACGCGAAAGTTTTCGCGCGGCCGCCGTGCGACCGCTTCCCGGCGACCACCCAGTTTCTGAATTCTGTTTACTGGGCAATAACATTTAAATTTCTTGGAATAATGCAACCGCGCCGTGTAGACCAGACATGCCAGATTCGCCTTCGCGCCCGAGACTCTCCTTTAAGTTAAAACTTAAAGCTAAGTGAATAGAGCGTATTTTCCCATGACAGTTAGATGCACGCGGTCGCAGCGCGGCGGCCACGCGGTCTCTGCGCGATGAAATTCGTGTCGAATAAAGGGGCCCTTATGTGTGCTACTTGTCAACTTATGTCTCAGAATGACTGTAATGTACAATAAAATGTACACTGTAATGCTTGCCATCGTGGCGAAAGGATTTACCTATCGGCGGGCGTAAAGTTCTTACTGATTGTTGCCTAGAGTGTCCCAGACGCACAGGAAAAGCAACGTTACGTCGTGTAGCAAGGATCTTTTCGTGCACGCCATATATTTTTATTTATGTATATGTAGCAACTTTATTTCTGCCGCGAAGCAGTAATGTGGACATTACTGTTCCGGTTTCGAAGTTGGTCTTGGCAATTTAGGTCATAGGATGACGGGCCCAGTGGTAGTGTCCCTAAGATCTTTGCGATTTTTTTAAATTGCCTCCGTGGCCGAACGGTTACATGCAGGACTGCCGCGCAGAGGTCTTTGGATCGATTCCCGAGCCGGAAAATATATTTATATGGCCTACATTCCTCTCATGAGTTTGGGTGTAATTTGTGGTTGTCTATTTGTGTGTCCATGGCACCCGCGACACAGGTTTCCCTAATGCGGGGCTATGTTCAGTGTGTGCGTCATTATTATAAAGAAAAATCAAAAAAGATTTATAGCTGTGAGTGGCACTGCAACTGTTATGGATAGACGTGTCGATTATCTTACTTATAAAAAAAAGAAAAAGTTTAATCCTTTTAATCAGTTTTGTATGGTATCTTACATTGAAAATTGTCATAGGATATGTACAAAGTGAATTATTTATTTTTTGTTATATAAAACGCTACCAAGAAAGCAAAAGAACCTATGGGAGTTTGCAGTTCGAAACCGTTCAGTGGAACAAACAATATTTGCTCGTCCTTTGCTGGTCTGGAGTGTGCGGATATAAGGCGTTAGTGAATGCTTTTTTGTTACGTTTAGTAGTATGAAGAACTTGACATATTGAAAGTACATTACATTTAGCAAGGAGTTCTGCTGAGGGAAAGCGAAAAAGTCGGAATATACTGACTTTGCTAATTTCTAAACTTAGCAAGTTGTTTTTATGGGTTCCCGATCGTTATGCAGTACACAAACAACGACTGACAAAGTGACAAATACACAGTATAAATACAGTACATATGAAACTGGTTAAATAGTGACGTAACACCGGTAGATACCAGTCACTGCGTTAAGTCCGATACGATGCCAAAGAATCACGGGATCGACAGGCGCAGGCTGGGCGCGAGCCAAACATCGGCGTACAAACCGCACTCTGTTCAACAGCCAAATTGTTGTACCTACTGAAGCACATGCTAGACGTATACCATCAGTATGCTACGAACATTCTTAAATACAATAGTTTGTAGGGTAAGAATGCTGGTGAAGTTTACTGGCATATGGGACTTTATTTATTTATTCTGTACAAAAAGTGTATAACAGTATGCACCATGCCGATACAGCAATTTAAAAAAATAAGAAGGTTCGACTCCAGTCGCATTCAATGAATTTTTTCTATATTCGATCTTTGCATTAATAATAAACTAGTGGAATTATATCCCAAAAAAATAGTTGAATATCTTTAGAGTAAAACATTGTAATATTCAATTAACTTCATATTACAATTATTAAAGCGTCATCTCTGGTCTGTCTCTTGTAGCTGTAAAGGCACCTGACTGAGTGAAAAAAAAACTTTCATAGATTTATCACAGATTTCTTAAAAACCTAAAGCTACTCTACAAGTACATAGAGAAATTCGTTGGTTCTGCTGGTTTGTTCTGTAGCTTAGTTGGGAGAGTGTCGGCCTGGTATGCTGAAGACGCTGTTTCGAATCTAGCCGGATGTAATGAATTTTTCTCTGTATTCGATCTTTGTATTAATAATTATAACAAACTAATTTCAGTAAAGAGTACTAAAACATCGACCTCAAAAGTTCGTGGATTTTTTATTATTATTATTATTTTTAATAATAACGCACACACTCACCATAGCCCCGCACTAGCGAAACCCTGTATCGCGGGTGCCATGGACACACACATAGACAACCACAAATTACACCCAAATTCACGAGAGAAATAAATGTAGGCCATACAAATATTTCTCCCGGCCCGGGAATCGAACCCAAGGACCTCTGCGTGGCAGTCCGGTATGGTAACCGTTCGGCCACGGAGGCAGTTATAATTAGATCTATTTGTGGAATATTTTCTTCAAATTTAAATGAGACTACTGCCGAGATACCTTCTTTCCAATAAGGAATCATGAAAATCGGTTCACAATGGTATGTCGTGTAAATTGAGAGCCTCCTCCATTTTTGAAGTCGGTTAAAAACCAGATTTAAAAACAAAAAATAACATTACTAATCTAAACTTAAATTAATGCCTAACTAATGACCATCTTGATTTCTCTCCAATACAGAGAGTATTGGAAAGAAATCAAGATGGTTCGTTCATCAACATCAGTCTCGCTATCCCTGTCAC